ATTTGGGGGCCAGCTTTAAAGCATATGAGAACAAAAAAGTTCTCTATGTCTGTTCTTTTCATGGATTTGTTTTTGTGTCCCTGCTTCCTAGGGTCGGAGTGGATTTGGTGAAAGGAATGCTACTTGTGGCCGAATGATCTGTGATGTGGAAATTTCAGCAAAGGAATTGATTCGTTGTAAAAGCTACCATTTATCTGAACTCGTTCAGCAGATTCTGAGAACTGAAAGAGATGTAATCCCAATGGAAAATATACAAAATATGTACAGGTACGAGCCTGGATACTTCAGAATTTGTTTGTCTTGAACTTAGCAATAGCAGGATGCCACAACCACATTTAGACTGGAGGAGCACATGCCAGTGGTGCTATGGAGAGGAAATCTTCTGTCTTCATGTCAGTGCCTACATCTCTATTATTATTCAAACTGGTTTACCTCTTCAGTTACTCTAATATGATCAGTTTATCTTCATCTCCTTAACCTGTCTTAGCTCTATCTTGATGTTTCCTAGTAGTAGTTTGGAAATTGACATGAAACTTAGGTTCCTACCCTTAATTCATTTATTCAAGAGTTAGCATAGATAGTTTGGAAATATAAAGACGTAGCAGTCATTCAGTTATTTGGAGGTATTGTTTGCTTATTTCTTAAATAAGGTTTTTTCTACTCCTCAGGTGTGTGTGCTTGCCAGAGACAGAGGAGGAAAGTGAGAAATCACACCTCCCCTGGTGGGGGGTTATGGCCATGCCTCAATCCCTTCTCCTCCATTCTCCTCTTTGGATTTTGAGCATGCATGCAAACACACCCAGTGTGATTTTCAAGCCGTTGGCCCAGGACTCGGACCATGGTCAGCCATGTGGGAGTCCAGCACATTAACCACCACACTACCTGCTGGTCCCTATTTCTCATTCTTGACTGCCCATTCCTCTTGAGTCCTTGGAACTACTGCTTATTTCTGACTATGCTCCCTCTCTAGGGCATCCCACTGAGTGTTAGGAATTTAAATACCATGTGGCTTTTGATGTTTCCCCCCTTAGACCACTCTCCGAATTCCAGACTCAGTGTTCCTACCTGCAGATTTAAGACTGAACTCCTGCTCTTTTACCTTAGGTTCTTCCTATGAGTTTCTCCTTATTAAAGTAATGACAACTATATATTTTTTTCTGCTACTGCTAGTAACTTCTAAAATCATCTTTAGCTTCAAACCTCTGAGATTTCTTGATATCTCTCTCTGATATCCCACAGTAGACCCGGCAAGGAATCTTTTTGGTTCTGTCTTCTTTATTATTATTATTGTTGTTATTATTTTATTATTACTGTTTTTGAAGAGGTTTTTGCTATAGAGAGCGTGCGCTCGCCAGAAAAACAGAGAGAGACAGAGAGACAGAAAGCGAGAAATCACCCCCAGGGAGGATGGTCTCAGTGAAGCCATTGTCCCTTCCCTAACTAAAATTGGAATCTCTGTTTTTGATACTTAATATTCCCTTTGCTTCTTAATTTTTTCTCCGTAACATTTAGCGTTATCTAACATACTATATATTAAGTACCTTTTTCTTTTTTATGCTCTATCTCCCCCATGAGGACATGAACTTCACAAGGAAGGACAAAGATTTTATCTGTTTCAGGCACAGTCCATGCCTGGTATATAGTGAGCATGCGATATCTATTCGATGGAATGAATGAAAGGGTTTAGGTAATTTATAGGTTTGTAGTTAACAGATTACTTCACTCTATCTTTGTGGGATATTTTTTCCTTTTGTTTTTGGGGAAGGGGATTATTGTCAGTGATAAGAATGATTTCCCAGTTATATACCGACCTTATTTTAAATTATTTCCTGAGCTGAGGTGCCATTGCTCTTTAGTTACTTACACCAAAAATTCCTTGTAATATTTTATGAAGTTTTGATTATAGTCATTGTTTCTTTTAATTACTTGATTCTGTTTCCTTCTTACCTTTCTGTACAGTGAACCTTCTCATCTGTTGTACCTGTTGGAGCACACCTGGAAAGATGCCAGGTTCATTTTGCAGATCATGTGTGAGCTAAATGTTCTTCCATTAGCATTGCAGATCACTAACATCGCTGGGAACATTATGGTAAATTTAACTTAGAAAGGGGGAAAAAGCATTTCCTGTTGGATTCAGTGTTTGCTTGGGGTAGTTGTTATATGATAATGAGTCTAAATGCATGCTTGTAAAATGAGTAAGTTGGATTCTGAAATCTGGGCTTCTTTTGTAAAAGGAAGAACTGGTTGAGAGAAGGGGAGGAATGCCAGGTGCAGTATGTTGAAAGTTGAGCGAACATAAGGATCATCTCTGTAACATCTGGATGTGTCTGTTTCATGGAGTGGTCCATTTGCGAGTAAAGAAATAGCCAAGTTGTCAGTATTTTCAGTTTGATTTGTGTCCTTTAACTATAATGAATAAAAACAACTTCCAAAATATTTTGGCACCTTTTTTTAAAAAAGATTTTTTGGTATTGGGTGTTTGTGCTTGCCAGAGGGACAGAAAGCGAGAAATCACCCCTTGGGGGGATGGCCACGCAGCAGTCCCTTCTCCTCCATTCTCCTCTCGGGATCTTGGGCATGCACACACATATGCCTAGTGTGAGCTTTTTGTTTTTAATAATTTTTAAAAATGTTTATTTATTGTGATTATTTTACTTTACTATTTTTTAAGAGAGAGATTTTTGCTATAGAGTGCATGTGCTTGTTGGAGAGACAAGAGAGACAGCAAGCGAGAAATCACCCCCTGGGGGGATGGCCACACTGCAATTCCTTTTCCTCCATTCTCTTCTTGGGATCTTGGGCACGCACGCACACATGCCCGGCATGAGTTTCAAGCTGTCAGGTCCAGGACTTGAACTGTGGTTGACTATGTGGGAATCCAGCAACTTAACCATTATGCCATCTGCTGGTCCCTTATTTTATTTTTTTAAAGTTGACCAGAGAAAGACAGAAGGAAAGTGAGAGAGCAGGCTGCCAGGTTCTGAACTCGAACCATGGTCAGCTATGTGGGAGTCCAGCCATCTCAGTTACCACACCACCTGCCAGCTCCACCTGGCGTGAGTTTTAAGTCACCAGGTCTGGGACTTAAACTGTGATCGACTATGTGGGAAGGAGTCCAATGACCTAACCTAGCCATCTGCTGGTCCTGGTACCTTTTTTTAAAAAAGAGTCTTTGTTAAAGTTTTGAAAGAGATGCTGTGATTATATTTACCAACTCAGTTGCTTTTGTTCATTGTAATTTTGAGCTCAAGGTAACAAAAGAATTTCTATTTAATAGTCCAGGACACTAATGGGTGGACGATCCGAGCGTAACGAGTTCTTGTTACTTCATGCTTTTTATGAAAACAACTATATCGTGCCTGACAAGCAGATTTTCAGAAAGCCTCAGCAAAAACTGGTGGGTCCAACATTGTATAGTATTTTGCCCTTTTTTTTTTTTTTTATCCCCCTCTTTTTGTTACCTGGCTAGCTATTTCCGCTTTGCTCTGGTAGCATCTGTTTCCAAAATAATTAATCCCCTGTGTACTGTAGAAACTGCATCTGATTTGTTCTGTTCTATTTGTGCAGTCATTTTCTTCTCCATTTTTCTCTGTACAGGCAAAATTATTTGTAATGTATATTATTTTAGGGAGACATTAGACCTCCCCAATGGAGCATGTTTTACCATCTTGGTCCTGCTCTCAGTTAAATGCTAGTTAAATGTTTTATTCCTTTAGATATATGAGTATTTTTGTGCTGTGTTTTTCTGTAGTAGTGTGATTCAGGTCACCACAATTGGATTCCTAGCTATCCTCCATCACATTGGAACTAAAACTCAGCTTAGCTACTGTTTTATCAGATGTAGTTGATTCAGAACGAAAATTGAATGTTAAACTTGTATTTGCTTGTTTTATGCATGTTATCAAAATTGGTATAGGGAATATTAATTCAGTGGAATTTATTTTCTTCTCGCCATTAATACATTACTTGGGAATTGATTTTCCATATATGGGCATACTTCTTGTAGGGACCATAGTAATAATGAGAATGAGAATTATAATTCCTGGAGGAATTATTTAGTGTTTTTACATCATGAATGTAGAGTAGTGAATTTAAGAGGACCAATTTACAATCTCAGATTTTATATTCTTAGTATCCACTAATTTAAAAATGTGAAGTTTCTGTGAATTCATGGAAACATTTAAAATAGAAATTGCTTATTTGTTAATTCAGAGATATACAGGTTGAGCATCCCTATTCTGAGAATTTGAAATCTGAAATGTGCCAAGATCCGAAATTTTCAAGTGCTGACAGGTCGCCAGAAGTGGAAAATTTCACATCTGACCTCATAGAACAGGTCACAATCAAAACACCGCAATACAAAAATATTGTACAAAATTACAGTATGCTATATATAGCATATATAACTTATAGTACCTTATACAGTATACAGGCACCCCTCACTTAACGACCATGTTCTGTTCCTACCACTAGAGTGTTAAATTGGTCGATAAGTAAGGAACTTAAAGACAGATGTCTTGTGGTGTGTCATGGTGCCATAGGGTATATATTTTTCCATAGCTATTGTGTCACACCAAACTAGAATAATATAATTTTATCCATACAAAAAGTATACATTTGCTGTGGGCCAGAAAGCAATTAGATATATAACATGATAATATAAATCTGGCATAACTGATTGTATTTATTCCGAATACTACCATGGGTTCACAATAAAGTGTAAATTTAGAAACAAAGTTTGTAGTCTTACATGATTGTGAACTCTTCATTTAGTGAATACTAATCGACTGTGGAAACAAGACAAAGACTGAGAAAGGGGATTCTCCACTGGAGAACTGGCCCTAGTGGTTGTTAAACAGGTAGGTTGTTAAATGAGGAGTGTCCATATAACGTATATATGAAACAAATGAATTTTGTATTTAGACTTGGGTCCAATCCCTAAGAGATCTCATTATGTATGTGAAAATATTCTGAAATACGAGAAAACCTGAAATTCAAAACACTTCTGTTCCCCAGCATTTTGGATAAGGGATACTCAGCCTGTAGTATTTGTGTAGGAAACTACCCTATTGGCTGTCCATCTGGTTTCATGAACATATCTTTCCCCACAGGTAGACCACTAACAAAAGGTAAATAATATTTGTTAGAACTGAGTGCTGCAATTGGAAAAAAGGGAATCATAAAGCTCCTTCATCAGTTAATTAGTTGCTGGTTGGTGAAGTTATCTTTCATTTGATATTAGGGTGATGAAGATGAAGAAATTGATGGGGATACCAATAAGTACAAGAAAGGACGTAAAAAAGCAGCTTATGCTGGAGGCTTAGTTTTGGACCCCAAAGTTGGTAAGTCCTGGGCAATGGATTAGTTTACCCATTGTATTAAGGAATTTATTTTATATATTTAGTTAATCAATTAGGATTTTGGCATAGGGTGCATATGCTTGTCAGAGGGAGGGAGAGAAAAAGAGAAAGAGAGAAAGTGAAAATTTTTTCCTGGGGTAATGGCTAAGACTCAGTCCCTTCTCCTCCATTCTCTACTCAAGATTTTGGGCACACACACACACACATGTGCCCAGTATGATTTTCAAGCCACTGGGTCTGGGATTTGAACTGTGGTTGACCATGTGGGAGTCCAGCTCCTTAACTACCGTGCCACCTGCTGGCTCCGCCTTAAGGAATTCCTTAATGTAGACCTAGACTTGAGAAACCAGAAGACCTGGATTATATCTTATAGGGCAGCAAATAAGACTCAGAATGACCTTATTTTTATCTTTTGTTCATAGAAAATCATGTCTGCCAGTCATGTGACATGGAATCAATGTGAACTTTTCTTTGGCTGTATTCCAATACAATTTTATTTATGGACAATGACTTTAAATTTCACATACTTTTCATCTTGCCACTCTGTTATGCTCCCCCAGCCTTCCAGCCAGCTAGGATCCCAGGTTTGCTAGTTCTGGCTGATATGCTTGCTGATGAGCCCAGTGTTTTCAGGTCAACCTGAGATCTGAACCTCAGGCCTTCCTACGTTGCCCCAGTATCACACAATGGTATCCTCCTGCCTGCACCACCACAACCGGGCCTGTTCTGTTTTTTATTTCTTCTAGCCATTTAAAAATGACTCTTAACTCAAGGGCAGTATAAAAAGACAGTAGGCTAGGTTTGATCTGCACATGTTGGGTTGTCAGAAAAGTCATGATGCATTTTTACATAGAAAAACAGAAAAATATTGGATCATCAGGGTTAGGGTTAGTTTGCCTACTCCTGGTTCAGTATATGGAGAGCTATTTATTTTGTGGTAGGAGCATCTCCTCTTCTGTCCACACTATCAAGATGGGCTCTACCTCTACCCGTTGTGTTAGGACCAGTTCAATTAGACAGTTAAGTTAAAGAAAGTATAGACAGTGGGCCTGGCAGGTGGTGTGGTGGGTAAAGGGGCTGGACTCTCACATGGCTGACCGTGGTTCAAGTCCTGGACGTGCTGGCTTGCTTTCTCATGTTTCCTCTATCCCTTTCTGTCTCTAATCAAACTGGAAAATAATAATAATAATAATAATAATAATAATAATAAATAAAGTTAAATAAAATAGTTCTTTAAAAAAAGGTATAGACAATAACCTCCAAATTGAACTTTAACAGGAAAATAATTTTCCCCTTTATCATGAATGGTAAGGTAGATGTTTTGTGGTACACAGAACTAGAATGAATCTTTGTTTTTTGTTTTTTTTTTTAAAGCTATCTTGATTATTTTCTAATATAGAGTTGAGTAGCAGTGTTAAGTATGTGGGTATTTACATTGTTGTGGAGGAATTAATGTGAATTTTGTCAAGTAACTTGAACTCTGAATAGGAAATATCTTTGGCAAAAGCAGTTTTATTATTGTAATGAAATGGAGCAGTAATACCTCAGTGCTAGATATGTCTGACTTTCAGTTCTGACTCTTGTCTTTTGGTTAACCTTTGTAATCCTCAGTTTCCTTTTCTGTAAAACAGAGATAAGAATATTATCTACCAAAGGGAGATTTAAGGAATAAAAATTAAAATCAAATATAAGTTGATTCGTATAGTGCCTGACACAGAGGAAACTGTCAATACATGTTTGCAGTTGTTATTATTGTCTTAATAGTGGACATTGACTTTTATTCAGTTTCTTCTCAAAGTGAAGATAACTCTTTATAAATGTCCTAGAGAAATATATTAGCTTTCTGTTCACCCTTTGCAAGTAAAAAGGGGTGGATCGTTCCACTACTGACATTTATATATATGTCTGTCGTCTGATATTTAGTACAGTTTGTGTACAAGTAAGTGGCTGCCCATTTTATTCTTCTCAGTTGTTAAAGTAAAGTGTGTATATATATATATATGTGTCTGTGTGTATATATGAATATTAATACTAATATATATATACACACACAAACACACTCACTCATTGGAGTTTTATTTGGGTTTGGAGAGTAGCTGGGAAGACATTCTTGTTTGAAGGAAAATTTCACATTTTTTTGGCTGGAGAGATTTTTGCTATAGGGAGTATGCACTCACTGGAGAGACAGAGACAGAAGGTGAGAAATCACCCCCCAGGGGAGATTACCACCCTGCAATCCCTTCTCCATTCTCCTCTTGGGATCTTGGGCATGCACACACACATGGCCAGTGTGAGTTTTAAGTTGCTGGGTCTGGGACTCAAACCTTGGTCGACCACATGGGAGTCCAGTGACATAACCATTACACCATCTGCTGGTCCTGAATTTCACATTTTTTAAAACTGGATATGACACCTCTGTAAAATAATCTATATGGAAAGATGTTTGCCCTTCCAGTGGTATGCTATGGGGGAGCTAGAGAAAGGAGTGGTTGTAGCTGGTTTTAAGGAAAGACGGAATCCTTTTTTCCTTTCTCTTCTTTTGTGATGTGTGGGTATTCTCTCTAAGTCATTTTATGGAGCAGTGGTCAACTTTTTTCCCCGTTTGTCTGCCTCATAGCTAGCTAGGTATTATACAGTTTCTAATGTACTTCTCATATGATGTCTTGACAATTCTGCTTTTCTTTAGACTTTTTAATAACATTATGTGGCTTTTTAATTTCAGGTTTTTATGATAAGTTCATTTTGCTCCTGGACTTCAACAGTTTATATCCCTCCATCATTCAGGAATTTAACATTTGTTTCACGACAGTGCAAAGAGTTTCTTCAGAGGCACAGAAGGTTACAGAGGTTTGTATTCAACTGAGGGTTCTTGACATGAGGTTAGTGAGGCTACGTAGTGATGCAGTGAACACTCCAAGGCAGACCCAGGTGGAAAAATTCTGGGCTCATGTCTAGAGTCCTCCCTGAGCACTCCAGACATGCATATGCCTATGATCTGGGCGTGGCTGTGTCTGAGGGTGAATTGTGGTGTGAAGACCCTGTTGTGGGGGTGCCTCTCTATCTCTGTCTGTCTTACTTATGGAAGAAAGAAAGAAATACATTTTTAAAAATGCAGGGAAATTGAAGTTTAAAATATTCCTTAAAGAGGGGTTGACCCGTAGCATGGTGGTTAAGGGCACTGGACTACCGTGTAGCTGACCATGGTTTGAGTCCCAGATCCAGCAGCTTGCTTTCTCACTTTCTCTCTCTCTCTGTCTGTCTCTGGTCAAATAAAAATAAATTAAGTAAGTAAAGTAAGTAAAATAAATTACTTCCAGTTCTGGGCCTGGCAGCTTGCTTTCTCACTTTCTTTCTCTCTGGTCGAATTTAAAAAAATAATTAATTAATTAATAAAAAAAATATGATCAAAGAAGGAAGAGAACCAAAAGGGTTAGCATTCTAGTTTTTCTTCTTAAAGGAAACATTAATTATCCTTTCTTAGTGATCAAAAAGGAGTGTTCGGTAAAAAGAGATTCAGACTGGTTCTGTGTCTTATTTGAAAAGCTTTTTTGTTTAAAAGGTTTTTACTATAGAGCACGTGTGCTCACCAGAGAGAGACAGATACAGACAGAGAGACAAAGAGAGGGGAAGTGAGGGGTTATCCCCCCAGGGGGACTGGCCATGCCACAATCCCTTCTCCATTCTCCTCCTGGGATTTTGGGCAAACATGCACATGTGCCTGGTGTGATTTTTAAGCCACTGGGTTCAGGACTTGAAACGCCGTCAATCATGGGAATCCAGTGCCTTAACCACTGTGTCACCTGCTGGCCCTAGAATAGCTTTCTTGAGGTATAGTTCACATACCATATAATCTGCCTGTTTAAAGTGGGCCGTTTAATGCCTTTTACTGTATTCACAGCATTTGCAACCATCACCACAATTAGTGTTAATATATTTTCATTATTCCCCAAAGAAACCTTTTAACTGTCCCCTCCCTCTATATCTGTCCTTCTCTCCCTCTTACTTCTAGACAACCAGTAATCTTTCTGCCTGTATGGATTTGTGTGTCCTGGACATTCTCGTATAAATGGAATCTTATGATACGGGGTCTTTTATTTATTTATTTTGGAGAGATTTTTGCTCTAGGGCACATGCACTCGCCAGAAAGACAGAAAGAGACAGAGAGACAAAAAATCACCCCCCAGGGGGGATAGCCATGCCTCAGTCCCTTCTCCTCCATTCTCTTCTTGGGATCTTCGGCACACATGCACATGCACCCAGCATGAGTTTAAGCCACCGGGTCTGGGACTCAAACTGCTGTCGACTACATGAGAGTCCAGTGATGTAGCCATTATGCCATCTGCTGGTCCCACTATGGGGCCTTTTATATCTGGCTAATTTAACTTAGCATGCTGTTTTCCAGATTCATCCATTGTAGCATGTTATCAGTACTTCATTCTTTTGTATTGCTAAATAATATTCTAGTGTGTTGAGTAGACATTTTATTTATTCTTTTTTTTGTATTTTTCTTTTTTCTGTTTGTATACATGACAGAAAATATCTATTTGCCTTCTAGCTCTTGAATTATCATACCCTTTAGTTCCAACCACATGCCTGAGAGTTGTTAATCAATCCAAATTCCATATTGCCAGGAAAGAGAATCTAGTAGGCTTGTCTAGGTTGGTGACCATCCCTGGTTCCATTATTTAAGACCAGAAGAATACAAATCTGGTGGCTAAGGGGGGATCTTTCTGTGGGACTAGGGGATCATTTTAGAGAGAAGGTATTTGGTAGATGTCCCCAAAAGGTAGTGAGTGTGTGTGTGTGTTTTGTTTTAAGAGAGGTTTTTGCTATAGGGCACATGTGCCCACCAGAGAGGCAGAGAAAGAGAGAAAGTGAGAAATCACCCCCTGGGGATGACCATGTCACAATCTCTTCTCCTTTCTCTTGGGATCTTGGGTATGCATGCACATGCACCTGGTGTGAGTTTGAAGCCACTGGATTTGGGACTTGAACTGCAGTTGACCAGATGGGAGCCCCAGCAATGTAATCATTATGCCATCTGATGTTACGCCATCTGCTGGTCCCATGAGTGTGTTGATGGATAGATAGTCTTTGGGCCCTGCCCTGCTACTGTACCTGCTTTGTGATCATTATCATTCTCCAGCCCACTCCCACCACCATTTTGTTTATTGGAGCTTTCCGGTTTGGATTCTGGATACATAACAATCATTTCAGAGTTAGAAGGGAGCTTAGAGGGTCATCTAAGAAATACTGTAGATGTAGCAGTTTATAAATTCAGGATCATTTCCACGTGCAGTACCTCATTTGGTCTTCAGAACAGTTACTATCACACAGTTAGTAGTGATGGTAGAACTAGGGCATGGATTCTATATTTCCTGACTCCAGATCTTTTCAGTTTACTTCTTGTCTGAATCCTGTAGTCACTGTAAATAAATTGTGATGTGTACCAAGATCTCTTTAATAGGTTTGCTATCATCATCTGCTATATTGGAAAACAATAGGTCCCTATTACTATTGTAAGAGTGTTCATTTGAAGATATTGATCTTTGTAAAATCAGATACTTTGTAAAGACTGGGCTATCACATGGCATTGACTTGATTTGCTTTAAGCCCAGAGCTTTATTTTTAATTCTGAACCTTTGAAAGGGCAAACGTTCCTGGCTTTTCTTTGCAGCCAGTTAATAGAATTAATGGAGGCTTGGGAAAAAAATGGTCTAATGCTTTTCCTGCTGTACAGGAAATAGAGGAAAACTGCTGGTTGCTTTTCTAAAATGTTGCTATTCTTCCACTGGTTGCAAAGCAGTTTATAGGTAAAAGTACTACATAAATGCTAAGGAATATATATTGTATTAACTTTTAGAAATGTCATGGCCTATTTAAATTTAAATGTGCTCCTGATTCTTAAAAGAAATTTGCTGATTTAGTATTTAGCCTTTTACTTTTAGTGTAAAACATTTACGATAATGGCTCTGATTCTCTGCAGTTTTAAAATTCTATAGCACTTTGGTAGTATTTTGTTTGGTAGTGCAAACGCTTTAAAATAGTTCAGCTGCTGGTTATGTACGTATTTATTTTAGAGAGATTTTTGCTATGGGGTGTGTGTGCTCACTGGAAAGACAGAGACAAACAGAAAGCGAGAAATCACCTTCCAGGGTGAATGGCCATGCTGCAATCCCTTCTCCTCTATTCTCCTCTTGGGATCTCGGGCACACACCCACATGTGCCCAGCATGAATTTTAAGCTGCCAGGTCTGGGACTTGAACCATGGTCGACTACATGGGAGTCCAGCGATAGAACCATTACGCCATCTGCTGGTCCCAGTTATTTGTTTTTTGAATCCTAGAGGTCTGTTTTAGTGTTTATATTTAATGGCTAAATGAATGAATTTTAATTTGCTAGAAGGCACACGTACTTGCTGGAGAAATAGGGAGAGAGAAAAGGGAGAGTGAGAAGACACCTTTATGGGGGATGATCACACCCGCAGTCCCTTCTCCTCCATTTTTTTTTTTTTTTTGGAGAGGTTTTCGCTATAGGGCGTGTGCGCTCGCCAGACAGACAGAGAGAGACATAGAGACAGAAAGCGAGAAACCACCCCCCGGGGGGATGGTCACACCGCAATCCCTTCTCCTCCATTCTCCTCTCGGGATCTTGGGCACGCACGCACATGCGCCCAGCGTGAGTTTTAAGCCACCGGGTCCGGGACGCGAACCGCGGTCGACTGCGTGGGAGTCCAGAGACATAGCCATTACGCTAACTGCTGGTTCCCTTTCCTCCATTTCTTTTGGAAATTTGGGCATGCATTCACATGTGCCTGGTGTGTTTCTCAAGCCAGTGGGTCTAGGAATTGAGCCATTCAGTTGGCCATGTGGAATCCAGCTGCTTTAACCACTACTGGCTGGCTCCAGCATTTGTACTGTAAACAGTCTCTCAAAATGCATTGCTCCCCAGCCTTGTTGAAGGGAGGATAGGATAACAGTATCATGTAAAAATTCATCCCTTTAAATGAAATCTAAAGTTTTGAGTCCTACAGGAGTGAGAGATATTGGGAATGACAGGCTAATAGTATTGGGAGAAAAGAAGGGACTATTGACTTGTTCTCTAACCATGTCAGCTCTTCCTTATCACCCGTGCATGTTGACTTTTACTTAAATAAGAATATAAATAGCTTGTCAGGATGTGATCATGAGGTAGAACTCCCACCAAATATTATTTTAGAAATTTATTTCACATCAGTTTGCATTTTTGACATTTCTATTGTGTCTTTCTCAGGATGGAGAACAAGAACAGATCCCTGAGTTGCCAGATCCAAGCCTCGAAATGGGCATTTTGCCCAGAGAGATCCGGAAACTGGTAGAACGGAGAAAACAAGTCAAACAGCTAATGAAACAGCAAGATTTAAACCCAGACCTTGTTCTTCAGGTATATCTTTTCACTAAGAGATGCGTGAGTGACAGTCTCAGCTTTTAAAATTTGATTATTGAGGAGTGGTATAAACAGGATGCTTTTGACAAAAATATAAGTGCTAATTTTCCATTTTGGGAGAGGCCACCATTCCAAAATACTAGACTGCCTCAGAATGGGAGGCACCTTTATTTGCAAAAGCTGTATCTTAGTAAGATTCTCCTGACTCCTGGGAGCTTTAGAGTCTGTTTACTTGTTTCTAGGAGGTTAGGAAATCATTGATCTGGGAGGCTAGCTGAGTATATTAAGAATTCCTTTCATATAGATACCAGAGACAGTAAGAGAGGGGAGTGGGTGGTAGAGGGTAGGCAGGAGGGCTAAAGAGAAGAAACATTTAACACACAAAAGAATGTAATCTTCTCTGTTGGAACAAAACAATCATGTTCTATACTTTTTTTTTAAAGAATTATTTTATCGAAATTTATTTATTTATTTATTTTAATTTGATCAGAGCATGACAGAGTGATAAAGAAAGAAGAAAAGTTAGAAAGCAACTCGCCAGGTCCATGACTGGAACTGTGGTCGGCCATGTGGGAGTCCAGTGCCCTTAACCACTGTGCCACCTGCCAGCCCCATGTTCTGTAATTTTTACTTTATAAAACAAATTCAAAAAAGAGTCCCTTTGTATTCAGGGATATTGAATTTCATTGGTGATCTAGAAAGATACCTAACATGCATAATCTGCAAATACTGTTTGTCTTCTGTCCTTGCACCACCTGCAGTATGACATCCGACAGAAGGCTTTGAAGCTTACAGCCAACAGTATGTACGGTTGCTTGGGATTTTCCTACAGCAGATTTTATGCCAAACCACTGGCTGCCTTGGTGACATACAAAGGAAGGGAGGTAAATGGCGCAAAAATATTCACGTCTCTAAATATGAGAGCATTGTTAACTCTATATGTTGTTGTGTGTGAGACTCAAGCTCGTTACATGGTTATATAGCTTTGAATACCCTTTTTATAGGTTAAGTTGAAGACAAATAGACATGAAAATAAGGATTCATTCATTTGTCGATTCAGTGTGATATGTGTGTATTTGTTTCCTATATGCAAGGCATTGTTCTAGGCACAGAGGATAGAGTGTTGTGCACGACGTAAAAGATCCCTGCTGTCCTGAGGCTTGCATTCTACCCTGGCGGGTGAGGAGTAGGGCAGAAATGGATTGGGAATATAGGGTGGAGGAAAGATAGTTTGGACAAACTGTAAATAACTGAATGGACAAATATAAGAAATAACCAAGAAAATATGATGGAAGTAAATGTTCCACAGACAGTTAAAACAGGGTGGTGAACTAGAGAGTGTTTACTTGATTAGTTTATATTGGTCAGGGAAGGCTTTTTTGAAAAGGGGACATGAACGAGACCTAAAATGACATAAGAAACCTGTTTCTTTTTAATGATTGATTTAATTGCAGTGTGACGGAAAGGTGGGAATCAGGATGTTAACTAGTGGTTTTTTTTTTTTTTTTTTTTTTTTACTAGGGCGTACCCTACTGGGAGAGAGAGATTAAGCATTGTATCTTGAAAGTGTTGCCTTTGAGATGAGTAATAGAGCTCCAGGCATCTTAAGTAGGCAGCTGGATGTGTAAATCCAGAATTCCAGGAATATATCAGGTATACTGAGAGTTACTGTCTTCAGAAAGATGGGCCAGATACCAAATGTGTCTAGGCACTGTTGCTTTGCGAATGCTCTAAGCTTCATGTACATTAGTACTATATGCATGGATTTTTCTTTTCTTTTTTCTAATTTTTTTTGTGGTTTTTACCATAGGGCCGTGGATTTTTCTTAATTTGTAAATGAACAGTTATGTTAGATATTAAGTTGTATTGAACTCTATTAAAACTACTCTTT